CTATGTTTGAGAATTTCTGAATCTTCTAATTGGTCCCTCAGTGGTATGCCATTACTTGGATATCTTGTTCCATCTTAACAGGCTTATTGGATCTTTCTAGGGCAGAGTAACTAGAGCGTTAAGTGACTTTGAGGAAGGCTCTTGTACCTGAAGGAAATCTTATAGTGTAGATTACAACAGGCTTCCATTAAAAGCCTCTCCCATTTTACTGGGTGAAGAGGAGGTTAAAGGGTGGTGCTCATTCCCCGTTGTAGGAAATTGGGTCAATTTATGATATAGTGGCAAAGGGATAATTTCTCATGACTCATTACTCTGGTCATTGGTTTCCCGAAGTATTTTCTCAAGATCACTAACTTGGTGGAAAGCCCTCAGAGACTGAAACAAAAACCAAACCAAACCAAAAACCCTACTTCCATAGTCAAATACATTTAGGAAATTTTAGCTTAAGCAAGTATAAACAGCTTTCTTTATCTTATCCAAGAAGAGATAGAGTAGGATTCTTTTCCAAATTTATTTGTGTTTTAGAAGTGTATTTGATCACCGTAATATCTTTTCACTGTTTTGAGAAACACACTCTAACAAGATTATCTCTGATTTCTGAAATTCTTGGGTAGCCACAGAGCAAGCTGATCTTTCTCAAAGTCATGCTGATAAATACAGGCAAGCTCTCTTTACCTACCAATTCATTGGCTTTCAAAGGTTGCACTGTTATCTCCAATTTCTCACTCGGTGTTTCTGGATGCTAGAACAGAAAAGAAATGCTTCCTATTTCTTTCTTCTCCCTCTTTCTTGAAAAAATTAGAGACAGATTATATAACCTTGGCCTTCCCCTGAGTACATTGCTGAGGATATTCAAAAGCATTCCTCAGTAACTTGTGAGTGGCTTTGCAGAAGCATCTCAGGTTTTACATAAACAAGAGGTTCCTTACTCTTTCTATAAATCAACTGTTTTCTTGCTGATTTACATGACAATTTCAGATGGTTGTCAATTTGTACCTGTGCCTAACAAATTAGTCTTAAACTTCATTGCCTTCTCCTCACTCTTCCCTGATCTTCTCTGCCATATACTTAATGATGTATAAACAAACACTTAAAAAATTTTGAAAGGCAACCCAGTAGGAAATTTAGGAATCTTTTTATAAGCTCAAGAGTCCTTTCCAAATGTGATTCCTTAATAGAACTGACTAGAAAGTCCAGAAATAAACCCAAATACAGAGAGGAATTAAGTATATGCCAAAAGTGACATTTAAATCCATGGGGAAGGGATAGTTGAATAAACAGTGTTAAGACAACTAGGTAGAAATCCAGAAAAATAGTAAAGTTAAATCTAGGGGCGCCTGGGTGGCTCAGTCGTTAAGACTTTGTCTTAACCCTACGTCTGCCTTCAGCTCAGGTCATGGTCCCAGGGTCCTGGGATAGAGCCCCACATTGGGCTCTCTGCTCAGCGGGAAGCCTGCTTCTCCCCCTCCCACTCCCCCCTGTTTGTGTTCCCTCTCTCACTGGGTCTCTCTCTGTCAAATAAATAAATAAAATCTTAAAAAAATAAAATAAAGTTAAATCTACAACTCACACCTGACCCAAACCAAATTCCAGATGGCAAGGAATTTTAACTTGAAAAATTAAACCATGAAAAAAAAGAACATTCCTGTGGCCTGTTTATTTGAGCTGACATAATCCACACTAAGCAATGTCTTTGTAAGTGACAGGTCACAATGAAATTGTGGAAACTTTGGTAGGAAGGATCCAACTCTTTCACTGGGGCTGGAAAATGGTTTGGTTAGACAGAAGAGGGGAAAACTGAAGCTTGATATTTACATTTTGTGATGACCATAAGGAGCTATTATGTTAATTATGTAATCGAGGGTGGCATATTTGGGGATAGTAGGAGTGCTGATGGAAACTAAAGGGAGAGATATTTGGGTATATGAAGTGGGACTAGATCATAGAGGACTCTGAATGCCCAGCTGAAGAGTTTGCCCTTGGTTCTCTTTTAATTGGGGAACCTCTGGGAATTTATGAGCTAGTATGTAGGTTTTCTTAACCTTTATTGACATTTTTGGCCAGATAATTCTTTGTCATGGGAAGCTAGCCCTGAGTATGACAGGATGCTTAGCAGCATCTCTGGCCTCTACCTACTAGATGTTAGTAGCATCTTCCCCTTTACAAATTGTGACAACCAAAAGTGTCTCCAAACATTGCCAAATGTCTCCTGGGTAACAAAATTATCACAGATTGAGAACAGCTGAGCTCTAGGATGACAGAATAATTGGTGTTTGAGAAGGACTGTCCAGTTGTGGTTGTGTAGAATGAACAGAAGGTCGGCAGGACAGGAACCTGACAGAATGTCTTAGAGACTAGCCCAGTACCCTAGGTATGGTATATTGTTACAGTAAGGGCCTCTAATAAAGTACATCTCCTTGTATCTGTGACCTTGTATAGTCCTCTCTCACACTGATGTAGGGCTTGGCCATGTTGACTTGCCGTGATCAATGGAACATCAGTAACCGTGACATAAGCTGAGGCTTGAAAAGCATTTGTGCTTTGGGACTTAGCCTCTTGGACACTGCCCCTATGTAACAAAGCCTATGATAGCCTCCTGAAGACACATGGTCCAACTAACAGCCAACACCAACTTCCAGATATGAGTGAGGCCCTCTAACGCCGTGCAGCTACAGTGGAACCACCATGACTGCATGATCTTAGGCAAGCCTGCAGAAAAACTACCTACCTGATCCCGCCCAAGTTAATGACAATGAAATTATGAACAAATGAAATGGTTGCTGTTTTAAATCACTAAGTGATTGTCGTATTGTCATGCAGTGGTAGATAACTTATAGTAGGTCTGGAGTAGGTCATTATCACTGCAAATGAAAACGTGTGTACACAAGACATTTGCAAGAATCCTTATTTCTTGATGACTTTTCAGTGAAGGGACTCAGTGAAAGGGCAAAGCGGGTCAAAAAATACAAGAACTTAGAAACTGAGTGCAAAGGTCAGAGTGAATTCAGGAATGAAGTTGCATGAGCAGTCTTCAAGAAAGCACTTCTGTCTAAGCAGTTAAAAATATTAACTCAGCTACTTTGAAAACTACAGATACTTAGTAATTGCTAACAGTATAATGATAATAATACTTCAAAGGTTCAGTTTAACAAGGATATTTCTAAAGCTTTAAGGGCATTACCAAGCTAGCCACCTCTTCCTTTATATGGAAAAATCAATCTTTAGAATAAACAGGAAAGCACATAAACTCAAAATCAATAACAATTTATATTGCACTAATGATAAAATTCATTTCATCATGAATGTCCACTTGTATGGAACTATATTCACTTAGCAATTAGATTGCTAAGACCAGGGCCTCGAATGGAATGTCTCTCATAATTTACCAGTTAAATTTACAGATGGTGATTATCAGTGGTATTTACGGCTTGATAGATGCTGAGCGTTGACCCTGTTTATTGTACTATTCAAGAATTAACAGTTCCTCAGATGGTTAGCACTTAGCCTTATGTTTAAGAACACCGGCCTGGAGGGATGTCTGTCAAATCCCCTACTTTATTTTAATCATAATAAAAAAAATCAAAGTAATAAGCAATAAAGAAAATCCAGAATGAGATAAAAATGGAAATACAGAGTCATAACTAAAAGAAATGGCAGTAAATAAAAGAAAGTCTAAAGGGTGGAGGGAATGGATAATGTAAATAAAGTAAAAACAACCCAAATGCATTTTCACAGGCTGTTAGAATCACCGAAGAGAACATATGTATAAGTCATATGACAGAGTGAGGGTCTCTTGGAAACAGGGTAAGATTAAAAAAAAAAAAAATCAAAATGGTTGAATTTTTAAGATCTTGTACCCATTAAGCAGTCAGTATTAAAGAAACAATAGCCCTGCTGAAATAAGTGTTTAAAATCAAAGGGTAACATGCACTTGGATATATGGTTTCCCTAAGATTTATCTAAAAAAAAAAAAAAGTCTTTAGTCTTTTTTTTTTTTTTTAAAGATTTTATTTATTTATTCATGAGAGACAGAGAGAAACAGAGGGAGAAGTAGGCTCCCAAGGAGCGGGAAGCCCGATGCGGGACTCGATCCCAGGACTCTGGGATCATGACCTGAGCCGAAGGCAGACGCTTAACCATCTGAGCCACCCAGGCGCCCAAGTCTTTAGTCTTTAACTGTCGCTGCCTGCCAAAGCATTTTTGTTGTTAATTCTTTCTCAGGTGGTGGAGACAAGGACTGAGAAAAATTATTTGGATGCGGGGATGTGGAAGATCTATGTGATTTCTAATGTGTATTAACCGGTTGGAACTTAATGTTGGAAGGGCATGGATTAAGGAAAGCCAGTAAAATCAGAAAATGGGGTGTTCTGGTAAATCTTGTAGTTTAGTTTGTAAGAAAACTTGTATATGCGGACGTTTACTCATGTTCCGGAATTACAAGAGACTAAAATACACATAACGTTAACCAGTTTGGAATCGTACCCCTATCTTCCTTTTCTTTTTGTCCAGTTAGCTTTGCACACTCCTGCTAGCTCTTGGCTTTACCAGAGCAAACTGTTTACTTCGAAGGGCCTGGTCACACTAACGCTGCAGCCCCGGTTCTGGCCGGGTATCCCAAGTCCAAGAGGCCCCAACCCAGGCTCAGCCGGCTGGAACCTGGCACAGGAGGGACAGCGGGCTTCGGAAGCGCGGAAAGCCGCGCCACGCGCCCCTCCTACCTGGCTGGGCGGAACCGGGCCCGCCCGGAAAGTGTGAGGGCAGCCCCGCCGGGCGCTCGGTCTCGGGTAGGCGCTGCTGCGCTGTACTCAGAGTCGGACTCCCGGGCCCGGTGGGGGCCGCGCGCCGGACCAGCGTCGGAGCGCCCCGCCCCCGGCAGGCGCCCCGCCCCGCCCGGACATTCCTGCAAGTGGCCGAACCCGCCGGACGAGGCCAACTCGTCGCGGCTCCCGGCGGCAGCAGGTGGCCCCGGACTTCCCGCCGTCGCCGCTGCCCCGGCGGGCCGCGCGCACTATCGCGCTCCAGAGCCGTCTGGGCTACCCTCGCCGGACAGGATGGAGGCGGACGGGGACCGGGAGGAGCTGTCCCACCTGCGCTCGGTCTTCGCTGCCTGCGACGCGAACCGCTCGGGGCGCCTGGAGCGCGAGGAGTTCGGCGCGCTGTGTGCGGAGCTGCGCGTGCTGCCGGCCGACGCCGAGGCCGTGTTCCAGCGGCTAGACGCTGACCGCGACGGCGCCATCACCTTCCAGGAGTTTGCGCGCGGCTTCAGTGGGTTCCGCCGCGGGGGGCGGTGCCGAGGCTGGGCTCCCCGGGACCCCGCGCCCGCCTCAGCCCAGGCGGGGCCCGACTCCGAGGACAGCGAAGAGGACGAGGGCGACGGGGACGCGCTGGCAGCCCCCTGGGGTCGGGCGAGTCCCGGCCAGGCTTGGCAGGACTTCCAGGCGCGACTTGGAGACGAGGCCAAATTCATCCCCAGGTGCGTGTGTGGGTTGGAGGGCGGGAGGTGAGGATGGGGTTATCTGCCCTCCCCGGTGCGCTGCCATCTCCCTCTTAACCCGCGGAGTGGGCAGACCCACTGGACCTACTTTTCTTTGTGAGTTGCTTTTCTCCGTCCGCGGACTCTATTCCAAGAGGAGATCCCCTAGAGTTGAAGAAAGGGAGTGCGTTCAGAGTCAGGGTTTGGGGAGAAAGTTTCACTTGCTCATTTCTGAGCCCTGCAAAGGTCACTTTGTTAGTTACCTGGGCCACAGTGAAATCCGCAGCGTCCAGAGTTGGTTCCCAGACAAGAATTTAGGAGCGCTCCCCACATCTCATCGCACCTTCTACCAAGGCCCCCTGGCTGCACCCCGGAGCTACGAGTGACCGATTGCCAAACTGGAGTCCTTCATATGTAGTAGTTCTTGTATTTGTTGTTTTCCTACAACACAGAAGACAAAACATGTTGGGCATTTATATTGCTGGACTTATGTATTCATTGATGCCTACCTACTACGTACTAGGCATTTTACAGAGTTCGTTCATTTAATTTTTGCAACAGCCCTGGGAGGTGGATTTTCTTCTCTGATTGATGGAGAAACTTAGACCCAGAAATTTAGACCTTTAAGACATTAAGGAACTTGACTGGTTAATGAAAGAGCAGGGATTTGATCCCATATGTTGTTGAACTGAAAAACTTGCTTTTTATACAATGGAATAAAATGATAAAATTATACAATAAATTCTCTACTCTCTGGCTCAGACAGAGATGATACCAAGTTACTAACTTAATTCTCAGGGGGGAAGGGAATGCCCGCAGGGGCAGAGCACGGGGAGAAAGATGCTCAGGTTTTATTCAAGAGTAATCTGCATCTGTCCTCGCCTTCCTGTCATGGTATGTCTTGAACTGCTATTTTCACTTCTTCCTCAGGCACTTCAAAATGTTAATGCTATAAAATGTATTTCTGCTCTTGGTTTGGATTATGATTGAAAGCCTATGGAGCTCTGGCTGTCATTATTAAGAACTGAAAGGTATCATTTTGGCTGGCAGCTTGCATATCTTAGTCATAAGACTCAGAAAAGCAAATAGCCCTAGAGGGTGAGTGGTCTTGCACACCCATTCACAGCTTGGACCCGCTGGCCTGGGAGTCCCACTTCCTCCTCTGCCCAGCTCCTCCCTCCAGTTTAGAGAGTAAGGCATGGAGAGTGACTCACTGCAAGTATGAGACGGATGGTGTAGAGAAAGTGGGTGTGATACCCATCTTTTCTATTATTTACAAATGAGTTAAAATACAACGTCTCTACCAGGGAAGTAGAAAAATGTAAGCATCGCTATAAACTATACTCTTGGAATTATCTTTTATCTCTAACTTGGTTTGGGTCCAGCTAATTATAAAAGGTAACAATTTTAAGAGTCAGGAAAGGTGAACCCACACCATGATTTACACCCACACCCACACACAGATCTACTTTTCACAGTTGTCAAGTCTCAGCAACAAATATTTGACACTTAACCTTGAAATGATTAGGATGGTCTTCTTAGTATCAGTATAGAAACCAGGATTTAATGTTACTGGTGATACTGTTATTATCATGATGCCTTTCCAAACTCTTCAAAGTTTATTAAATTTAATGGGCACCAGTGTCACCTGGTAGACTTGTGTTTTAAGTCACACCCCCTTGTGATTGGAGATTAACAAGTACAATATTTGCCTTCCTGTGCTTGTTCAAGTGGAAAAGAACTAAACTGAGTTGCTTCATCTGATTGTTACCATGGCAGCCGGTAACTGTTTTTGGTAAATTCGATTGCTTCTATTCCACTTCCTCATACAGCTGTTCACCTTCCCTTCCTCTCATCCAAATGTGGTAAAAATCTTTTGTCATCGATAAGGCCGTTGGCATTATTTCAGTCAAATTAGTTCTATAGACGTTATTGAGTGCTTATTTTGTGCCAGATGCTGTTGTAGGTCCTCCCCTAGGTCCCTGGGGACAAAGAAAAGGCTGAGATGTAGTTCATGCCCTCAGGAAGTTTATAGTGTGGGTGAACCATTTCTCAAAAATTTCATCAAAGAACATTTAAAGGCAAGAGGGTTATTTGCAAGAAATTCCATATAGAGTGGACATAGCCCAACAGACTACTGCAACCAGGAGCTGTCTTTGGTCATATATTTGTTCCTTTTACTCCATGATATATCGGGGCTTATTTTAATATAAAACATTATACTTTCCTCCAGTGGGAAAATTGTTTCTCTAGGAAAGTGTGCCATTTCATCTGGTGGCTTTGTTATTCATCTGACACACCATCTTAACCCTGGTGGCTTCTTGTCCCATGCTTATGTAGGGGGTTTTCATGTTCAGGTTGAGAAGATCAGGTATCAGATATAAGAATGTTTGGCTCCTGATCCCAGGGTCCTGGGATAGAGGCCTGCACAGGCTCCCTGCTCTGTGGGAAGCCTTCTTATCCCCCCCCAACCCCCCTGCTTGTGTTCCCTCTCTCACTGTGTCTCTCTCTGTCAAATAAATAAATAAAATCTTTAAAAAAAAAAAAAAGAATGTTTGGCTCCTATAAGGCAAAATGTGGTGGTGTTGACAGAATTTCCATTTGTAAGACCATTCAAGCTCCTGGTATAAAAATATTAAGCAAGTTTGGGTTAAACTCCCCAGTCATCAATATTGTGATCTTAGAGAAGAAATAAGGTTGCACCGTGAAAGGATGAAAATGGTCTCTGGGATGTGTGTCAGCTCACTCTCAAGTTGGTTTTTTCTTGGAAGATTGAAAGACTCCTTCTCCTAAAGGGGAATGTCCCCAGTAGTCAAGTGACCTGTTAGCCTGTGCTGGGCAGGTGAAAATCGTCTACAGGGTCAGGATGGCCATCACCACTTCCCAGTGAACTGGAATTAGGTCAGCCAACAGGTGAAACCAGAATGGGCAAGGTGATGTGGTTCTAGAAGAGAATTCAGGAAGGAAGATTGTACAGGGCCAAGAACACTCCATGAAATAGGGAGAAAATGTTGGGTGAGAGATAGAGAACAGACTTGTAATAACCTAGTCGGGCCAATTTCTTGTGCCAGGGGTGTTATGAGAGAGAGTTTTGTACCTAGTAGGTACTTAATAAACGTGCTCAGTAAATGTTTGCAAAATGAACAGAATAAACTGGTGTTCTTTCATTCCTTGATTCATATACTGAGAATGCAGTTGATGTCATGTGCATTTTCTTTTTGTTTTGTTGATGCTCTCTCTCTCTTTTTTTAATGTTCTGGTGTGAGCTCGTCATGGTGTTCCAAGATTGGCAAGGAGAGGGAAACGGGGTGTGTGTGTGTGTGTGTGTGTGTGTGTGTGTGTGTGTGTGAACATTTGACCAGGGGTAGTGGGATGGCAGAACTCTCTCCTCTAGATGGACCTGAAGCTTTTCAGTTTTCTCAGCTCCATTTGTTGCAATTTTAAGTGTTATTTGTGAATTGATTTCACTTTGATAAATCAACTTAGAACCGCATGTTTTCACAGACAGAAACGTGAGGATCCAGCTGATACCAGCACCGCAGTGGATTTGTGCGTGGGTATGGGTACTGCCACAGTGGCCAGATCAGGGACCGAGCCAGGGTGGTGCTTGTAATGTAATAGGCCTTAGTGTGATTGGTGACCTGCCAGGCAGGGCTAGGCTGCCATTGTTGTTCAGACACCGAAATCCATCCTGTGTGGTCAGCTGTTTCTCATAGTTTCTGATCTTCCTACATACACACTGTTGAAGGGGAGGCTTTTATTTTGATCATTTAGAAACCATAAATTTAATTGAGAAGAACCCAAACTACCGACTTGTGAGCTGTATATGGATTGTCAAAAACAGAGTTCTTTAGCATATCCGTATAACTGTAGCGATGATTAGGAAAATCAAGAGAAAGAGATCAATGGCTGAACACCAATCCTACTTAAGGAGGACATTTTTAAAACATGTAGCTACAAGTAGGCAGAAGGATAGTTTCCACACTGGTCAGGGTTTGTTTTACATTTCCCCTTCTTGGGTTCCACGTTAGCCCTTTCCAGTCTGATCGCCTTCTTTCCTAATAACGTGGTTGCTTCACGCACCCCCTTCTCTTCCGTAATGTGCTTCATAAGATGGGAGGGCAGAGAGTAGATGGAGGCAAAGAAACATAAACTCAGAGAGAGGGCTGGAGACAGGGAGCAGGAGAGGGGTCAGGTGAGGGGAAGGGAAAGACAGAGATCAACAGACAGATGGACAGATTGGATAGTGCCTCAGTTTCCCCTCTCTTTCCACCGAACGAGTTCATGGCCATGAGCCACCTTGAGATGGGGGAGGCAAATCAGCTCTTGCTCTATTTGATTTTAGCTCTTGAAAATCCTCAGAATGTGAGCATCTTGGTGCTTTGGATGGTGTTTGTAGTATTTGAAGATACGTTTTTCACTCACGTGGTCAGGAATATTATCTGGTGTTCATCCAAGGAGATGAAGACTTATTCCGGCCTTGAGGCGTGACAGTGGGTTGGACCCCAGTCCTGGAAGAGATTAAGGGTGTTTTTGCCATTTTTGATTAAGGGTGGTATTTACTTCTGGCCCTGGCTTTGGGATCTATCAGTGTTCTGACCACAGTCTTTGCAGAATTCTCTGCTTTTTCTGGGTTCAGAAGTGGAGTCTTTATAGATATTTATTTTCTAACTGTTGTTGGTCTGTTGCTTTTCCTTTTTTCCTCTTTAGTATACCCTCTATTACAATTCTGTGTGTTATTACCCTCCTGCTAAATGGGAGAAACCTGTCTGTTGAGAAAACCACAGCTCTGCCTTGAATCTTGTGAGCCTTGCTCCTGGGCTTTGTAGGAGTCTGCATGGCTTGGCTTTTATGGGCTCTCCTTGCTGGTGGTCCCTCCTGGTTTTGATCTTTGAATTTTATTTCAAGGTAATGATTTCATTTTGGCCTCCCGGCCCCAGAAACATGTTCTGGCCATCCTGTCCTTGGAGGATATCTGTCTGGCCAGATGGTTAGAGGCC